GTTGCATCTACCAATTCAAGTGTTATATGGGTCTGTGATAAGAAATTAATTCTGCTTCTTTTGAGAGCATTCCTGAGTTCCTCAAAAGACATTGTTGTACCTTTGCATGTACTACGTACTTTTTGTATATTTCTCACAGTGATAAATAAATAAATTCATTTCCTTTTCTTTTTATTCAATTGAAACCATAATTTTGATATTCTTGACTAGACCGAATCTTACATAAAATTGATTTGGCTCTACGATAAATTAAATACTCTGTAATCTTTTTACTTGGGGCATGTTTATCTGTTTATGAAAGATAGGAGGGTGTATGTTATGGGTATGGCTCTACGATAAATTAAATACTCAGTAGGCTTATCTGTTTATGACAATTAACATTTGTCAATTGTGACATTACCATTGCTAAATTTTACGGAGTATAACCACAATGCCTTTAAATATACCACATAGATTTAATTTGCATTTTATAGGCCCATATTTTGAATGTTGAAAATTATTACCTTCCTCATTTAGATAATAATATTGAAATTAACATTACAAGTTCTATGTTGGGGGTAGTAGTAGTAGAAACTTTGGTAAACATATATACTATCACAGTACAAACAATTATATGTACTACTTTCGTCTCAGTGTATTTAGTTACTTTCAATATTTCAATTCAAATTAGACAAAGTTTAAGTTTTAATTACTCTCAATTTGTATTGCATATTAATTACTCCGTAGTATAATGAAATAAAATTTTAAAAACTCTCAACAACATAAATCTTATAACGCCATTTTTATACAATTATACATTACATTTTTATTTAATTGAAATTGAAACTTTATCCAATCTCAAAGAGACGGTAGGCTATTTCATATTTTCTCTCTTTTAGAGTAATATTTCATTTTATTTGGTATTAAAGAGATATCCACAAAAACTCATTTACAAGCAACAAATATGTGCATAATTAACCAGCCCGTGCGAAGCACGGGGTAGAACACTAGTATATTATATTTTACAACTTTATGCAGTGTACGGCAAAAGAGGATTCTAGCTAAGGTGGTCAGTAGGTGAATATAGACCAAGAGATCAAGTGTTTGAATCCTTACACGGTAGCATTTTCGAAGATTTTTGCAAAAAAAAAAGGTTTCCGGTTCTACCGGACGATTTCTGCTGATTTTTACTAGTTCGCGCCAGTTCGCAGCTAAGGCTCCGTTCCGTTTAACTTATTTTTTCTGATCTAATCTGTTTCTAATAAGTTCTGATCTGATTGGATCTGATCTGATCTGATCTGATTAGATCTGATCTGATTGGATCTGATCTCTGATTAGATCTGATCTGATTAATTATGATTTAATTTAAAATTTCAAATCAATAATTTAATTTGACTTTATAATAACATTTGAAAATTGTAATGATAATTCATATTATAATATAATCAATATTTTTTATTTAATGATTATTTTTTAATAAAATAAAAAGAGTTAATTCATATATTAGAATAATCATTCATATTATAATGTAATAATATTTTTTATTTTATGATTATATTTTTGTAAAATTAGAATTATACATTAGAATAAATATTTAATTTAGATATACATTAAAAATTAATTAAATTTAGATAATCAATATATAGAAGAGATAGTATTTTTATTAAAATATCTCATCCTTATAAAAGATCAAAGGTTTAGAAACTCAAATTACAAGTAGTAATAAAAATATATTTTAAAAGTAGACTTAGATTGACATTGTCAATGTATTTTAAAACTAATTTTTCCGACGTCTAATAATTAAGGATTACTTTCTCATTTTTCTATTTAACCTATTTCTAAAGTTTATTCTTTTTCATTTTTAAAAACAATACTAATGATGATGATGATGATGATGATGATGATGATAATAATATTAATAGAGTAAATTCCATAAAAGGTCCTCAGTTATAGGTCGTTTTACATATTTAGTCCCTACATATCAAATATTACTTATTTAGTCCCCAATTGTTATATTCATTTTCACGAATAGTCCTTTTTTAACATTTCCTTAAGAACATGGATAAAATTGTAAATTCACACTTATTTCTCTCCTCAATTAAGCTTCTTCTCTCCTCTCGCACTCCTTTCCAAAATCTGACACTGAGTTTGAAGCTTTGAACCCAAATTCGAAATTGTTACTCTTCTCTCAATTGTTTGTCTAATTGATGGGACCCAAATTTAAAACCAGTAACCTTCATGGATGAGTTTTAATGTTTATTTTCTTTTCAATTTCTTGAGATTAACCGATAAAACTCGTCCATAAGTTTATTGGTTTTGATTTTAGAGAGGAGTGATCATTTCAGTTTTAGATTTAGAGCTTCAAACTCAGCGACGAATTTAAGAAAGAGTACGAAAGGTAAGAGGAAACTTAATTGAGGAGAGAAAGGAGTATGAATCTACAATTTTATCTACGTTTTTAACGGAAATGTTAACAAAGGACCATTCATGGAAATAAATTTAATAATTAGGGACTAAATAAGTAATATTTGATATGTAGGGACTAAATATATAAAACGACCTATAACTGGGGACCTTTTATGGAATTTACTCATATTAATAACAACAACAACAACAACAACAACAATAATAATAATAATAACAACAACAACAACAATACTAATAATAATAATAATAATAATAATAATAATAATAATAATTATTATTATTATTATTATTATTATTATTTTTATTCTTGATGGGATCTGATTTTAATAAGTCTTGATCTGATCTGATTGGATCTAATCTGATCTGATTCGATCTGATCTGATCTGATTTTAATAAAAATAAGAAAAAATAAGTTTAACGGAACGGGGCCTAAAGCCGCCCGGACCGGACTGATTTGGTCACTGGTTCGCCAGTTCCTAGTCTGGTCCGATTTTTAAAACTGTGCTTTTTAGAATGTTTTTTGCCAAGTGGATGCTATGTGAGATGACTAATTTTTAGTTAAAAAATGTGTAGTGGTTGATGCTCATTTCAAGCCCCTTCAATTATTACCTAATTAATATTCTATTCCTAAAAAATTGTCATAATTTGAATTCTTTGTCAAATTGTGGCATGCTTTGATTGCAAATTATAGAAAACTTATATTTAATTATAACATAAATTTAGTAAAATTAAATTTATTTTAAAATATAGAATTGAAATATCAAATTTTTATAATATTTAATTATTTTAAATTATATTTAATTTATAGTCAAAAAGTGTTAGAATTTAACGACAAAAATCAATCTGTGTCAATCTTTTAGAGACAGAGGGAGTAACTAATTTTACATATTTCAAATCAACTATTTTTAAAGTAAAATATGATACTTGAAAAATAGTTAATTAAAAAATTTCATTAAAATTTTAAATAATGCTAAAAATAAATAGAGTAAATTCCATAAAAGGTCCTCAGGTACAGGTCATTTTACATATTTAGTCCCTACACATCAAATATTATTAATTTAGTTCCTATTTATTATATTTATTTTCACGAATGGTCCTTTGTTAACATTTCCGTTAAGAACGTGGATAAAATTGTAAATTCACACTCCTTTCTCTCATCAATTAAGCTTCTTCCATTCACTCGCACTCATTTCCCAAACTCGCCGCTGAATTGTTGTTAAAACTTTCGAGTTAATGATACCAAAATGATCTATGAACTTAGAAGAACATTTCAATTTAGTTTAATTGAAGTTTGATTACTAAAAATGAAGGTTTCGAAAATTGACCCCTAAGATTGGAGATGACAGTTTTTAAACAACGTGCAGAAACGGTATCGAACCATCCGAACGGTACCTAGGTACCGCCGGCACGGTAGGCAATACTGTCGGAACGGTAGACCAACTACCGTCTCAATGCATTCTTCTCTGGTGGTACCTGACGCCAGACGATAGCCCGTACTGTCTGGACGGTACTGAGGTATCGTAAACCGTCTAGACTGTAAATTTTTCACAAACCTGATTTTTGAAGTGTAAAATCCTATTATTTATACCATTCAATTATGATCAATATGAAAATGATTTTTGAAAATAAATATGATGTTTTGACCAATCCAAGAACCTTGTGTGATGTATGATAGTAAGCTAGGTTGTTAACACTCAACGTTAGACTGCTATTTGATGTTGAACACTATGATGATTATTCTTGATTATTGATTATGATGATGGACCATGATTAAAGACACAAATATCCTGATTCAAAATGATGATTATGAAAATGGTATTGATTATTAAGACTGTCTAGAAGAACTCTAAGATATACCCCCATGTGACTTAGTTAATTTAGGTCTTGCGGGTATGAAGTCTGGTGGCCTAGGTAAAAACATACATACGAGATCCGCAAACCAAACTAGAGGGTCACTCATTTACGGATACTACCCATCTGACAGTGAGTATTCCGCGATCCGTTGTTCGGTTCCTTGTGTACCTTAAGCTAAGACTAGTTTAAGAGTTGGAATAACATTTTTAATTAAATTGTACCTTAAACTAGGATTAGTTTAAGAGTTGGTATATAGTATGAACTATACCTTAAACTAGGAATAGTTTAAAAGTTGATTAGAAATATGTACCTTAAGCTAATTATAGTTTAAGAGTTGGATAGAAGTATTTTGTCTTAGACTAATAATAGTTTAAGTGCTTTATTATTAAAATGATATGGCCTTAGATTAAGAATAATTTAAGAACATTGTTGAAATAATGAATATTAAATATCTCAATTGAATAACATGTGTTGATACTAAAAAATTTGATATAAACTGAAAGTTATCAATAGCATGAATATTGAATATCTGAATTGAATATTATGTGCATGACATCCAATGATTTGATTATGCATTGAGATTCAATTTATATGGATGTTCGATAATTATTTAAAAAGTGAATTAATAATTATGATGTAAAATTATTTAATAATCTTCCACAACTTTGAAAACTTTGTTACTGTTTACGTTATGAATATTATTTGTGATAAATAAAAGTTTTTAAAATATTTTAAGTTTTATGATTACCAAGATAATACTTTAGTCTGAAAGGATCTGCAGATCTTGATGGATTAGGGTGTTACAATTAGTTCCGGGACAGTTCTTGAAAGAAAAAGTGTTCTGGATCAGTGCTGTCAGAAAGAACTTGCAGCCAAACAGAAGATGATCTACTGTTTTGTCTTTTTTAAAAAATTATTTAATATGAAACGGTAGACCATCTACCATTTGTCTTTATAAAAAATATTTAATATGAAGCGGTAAATGGACAACTTAGTATCAGTTATTTGTACCTTTTATTTTTGTAGTATAGATTGTTTAAGTTCTAATAACATGGATATTTGATTTTTTAAATATGTACAACTTAATTTAGAAATTTATATGTGTGATTTCTATTTTTTTTGTAGTAGCGGGTTTGACATTTTTTTAATATTTAGTAGTTTATTTAATTTCTACTTTCCCTTAAATTGAATGTCTTTGTATTTTTTTTACTTACCAATAAATCCCACATAAGAGAAAAAATCATGCACCATTCAATCTACCGCAAATTATATTATACATCCGGCTGTACCTAGAGATAGGTACAACCGGCGTATAATAGGGCGAAAGGAAGCGCAAGAAACAGGCGATGAAGGAGGCTGGTCGATCGGAAGTCAGATCTGGGATTATGTGCAGATCTATGATGATGATCGGTGATGAAGAAAGAAGACCGATGATGATGATGATGGGGTTTTGCTGATGATTCTGCAGTAGAGATGAATAAGAAGAAGAAGGAAGACTGGTGATGATGATGGAGTCTCTGCTGCGGTGATGAAGAAGAAGAAGAATGAAGACTGGTGATGATGATGAAGTTTTGCGTGATGATGATTGGAATCCTCTGTTAGGGCAAGAATGAATACTGGTTTAAGTGGGAATGGGTACAACTGATTTTTAGAATGTGTATTCGGTTATTATTTGTAAATTATATTACACAAATGTGTAAGAATGAGTACTTTTTTATTTTAAAATGAGTATTATTACCTTTGCCAGAATGAGTACAACGTATTTCGAAATGAATGTTTATATTTGTACGAGAATGAGTACTACTTTATTTTAGAATGAGTACTACCAGAATGTACCTATTTCTAGGTACATCCGGATATACCATATACCAACTCTTCCTAACCTAATAAAAAATATTACATCATTCAATCAACAAAACTTTATTAATTTCATATAACAATAAAAAAAAATATACCATATAATCAACCTAACATTATAAATTGTACTTTTTATTTTCGTATTAGCATGTTTGATAGTTTCATAATACTATTATGTATCGATCAAAATATATATGTACGTGGATTTAAATTTACTAAATCCTTTATTTCTAAAAAAAACCATTTAGAACTTTTTAAAATACAGAAAAACGAACAATTAAGAATTTTTTTAAACTACAAAAATTAAAGGGCCAAGAATTTGTACCCATTTTGTACACTGCAAGGATACACCAACATTTTGTGTTGCTGTAAAACTAATTTTTTTTAACACATCAACATTTTGTGTCAGTGTAAATTTTTATTAACGCACCATGTGTCAGTGTAAACCATCAAAATATTGATGCATACAAATGAGTAAAATTTTTGGGTTGCATGCTCCAAAATTAAACGACAAAACGGTAGATGAGTTCCATTTCATTTCAGCATAAGTCAGCAAGAGTTTCACACATCAGATATGAATTTTCATGATCTGCACTGATTGGGAAATCACCCTGATCAGAGATGGGTAATTCTCAATCGTCTGCTCCTAATCATCGCTTTGATAACGCTAAAAGGTTCATATTTCTCCCTATTCGTCTATTATGCGGAGTTTTAATTCTTCTTTAACATCCATATTTATCGAATTTATGCTTCGCAGAGCGTTCACTGAGAAGGAACTTGAAGACCTGAATTCGTTGTTCCTCTCACTCTCCACGCAATCAGATGAAAATTCCCAATACATCTCCCCTTCAGTTTTCAAGGTCTCTCTTCAATTTTACTTTTGAAAAGCTTAATTATCATCAGTTTATCCTCCCTCCGTTCCAAAAAGATTTACACCTTTCAAAAAAATTGTGTCCCACAATCTCCTATCCATTTCTATTAAAAAACCACTTTTACCCCTTACTTTTTCAAATCCTAACTATCACATCATATCTTTTTTCTAATAATCTACACATCACATCCTACTTTTACCCATCACATCAAACGTCAAGGATATTTTTGGAAAGTCAACACAAAATTATCCCTTCCTTAATTTCTACTTTAGTCAAAATGGGTAACACTTTATGGGACGGAGGGAGTATAATATATGCAAATGAGCAAATCTTAGGTGTATGATGTATGCATAGGTGCACTTTGAAATTCAAGGTGTGCTGGGGGATAGATTGTTCGACTTGGTCACCCAGAACCGTAAGGATGAAAAGCTTACCTTTGAAGATCTTGTTATTAGTAAAGTAAGCTAGGTACTTTTTTTCATTTGTTCTTGCTATACAATCCTTGTTTATTTTATGTTCTGAACTGAAATTTTCCATGAAATACATACACTAAATTGTTTTCCAGTAATTTCATTGGTACGAACCATGGAGTCTGGTTGTTTAGTTCATAGCTATCATAACTCATAAATACTGATTGGTGCGGAGTAAAAATGATGTGAAATTATTCAAAATTCTCTGCTTCTGATCTAATCTTATGAGGCAGGGAACTTATGAAAAAGGAACAAAAGATGAGATTGAAGAGTTTATATATCAACTATTAGATGTCTCCGGTGACGGCACAGTTGGAAGGTAGAACTCTTAATATCTTGCTCCCTCCCTCCCTCAACAATTAGAAATATAGAATCTTGGGTGTCTTCTTGACTCAAAGTTATCTGGCATTAAATTCTTGGTGAAAAACTTGGAATATAACATGGTAATGGATATTTACTATTGTCTAGAGTCATAATTTGGATGCTCAATGCTCTATTGGGGGAATTTATTCTAACTGTTTAGAGGTATGCCATCAAAGATGTGTAACCAGCTGTCTTGTAATCAATTGTACCTTGTAATGAACTNTGTTAACACCATCTGAATCAGGTTCTTTGTATATGGTCATCCAGTACCTTGAGGCTTTTCTTAATGCTAAGTTTTATCATTTTCGCGGATCTCAGATATATGCTAGGGATAGAAAGTTTTTTAGTGTGGACCCTTGCGTTCATCCGGTGTTTGTGTACGCCAAGCTGAGAGCCTTTGTGTTCAAGGCAAGCCCATATGGATAGGGAATTTAAGGCCATGTTTATCTGATTGGTTCAGATATGATTGGAATAAGTTCTGATCTGCTCTAATCTGATTTGAATGTAGTTATATTTAAAGTTATTTCTGATCTGATCTGATTCCAATAAGAATAAATAATAAGTAAAAAAATAAGTTGAGGAGAACATAACCTAAGTGTGGGCCTATGGCCCCCTTTTTTAGGGTCCCAAGAAACCAACATGGATAAGGTATTAGTATTATGTGTAATAAGCCAAAGGCGTGGTATGACTCTACAGGCCCCAAATGACAAATTCCTTACCCTTGTGTTTAAAAATAAATAAAGTTCCACTATACTTCTAAAATGAAGTGATCTGCGACATTTCATTTGTCGCAACTTGTGTATTTGAAAAACTAGTGAATAACGGTAAATTTTTTGTTGGCAAAAAGAAGGGGAGATATGAGAAGTCACCTAGTCGTTTTCTTTTATTGATTATTATTTTGTAGGAAACATTTTACTGTATTTCTCTTCTTATTATGTGTAGTTTATATTTTAAAATTTAATTTTAAAATACTCCCTCCATCCTAGTGTTTTTGTCCACATTTCTTTTTGGGACGTCCCACTGTTTTTGTCCAATTTCCTTTTTCGGGATACAGTTTGACATTTTTGCCCTCCCAAGTGATCCATATTTCCCATTACGTCTTAATTCATGTTCAAATTGTAGAGATCTCAAACTTTATTTCGAAAGACAGTCTGTCTAACTCCTCGACCCATGGTTTTGAGACAAATCCATTAGTGGTGTCTGCAAGCTCTCATCCCGGCGGTCCATCTCTCCGGTTACGAAGGAGTTGAAGACACCAACTCAAAAATAAAAAAATAATAAAGAAAGAAAAATAACACTAACTCTAATGAGAACCATATATATATATATATATATATATATATATATATATATATATATATATATATATATATATATATTCTGCCGCAGCAAGAAGTAATTTGACTTATGAGTGGATACTTTATGTCCGAAGATTCCAACAAATTCGTTATTTAATTTGCCAGCAAACACTCCAAAATCTTAATTCAAAAAATTGGATAAAAATTGGATGTGGATACTTTTCCGCCGTTAAAGACACATTCTCTTTCCTCTCCGTGGTTGTCGTCACGGATTGATATGGAAGCCATTGGAACATTGCCAAAGAAGGAGGCTTGACCGTCTTGACAAGTAGATTACACCCTTCTATCCTTTTCTTTGGTCCAAGAGCCAAATTGTAAGTGGACAAAGAGATTAGGATGGAGGGAGTACTCCGTATTACTTATTTGATAGAAGAGTTAAGAGTACAACATAAAGAAAAAGATATATGGAGTAAAGTACAAGTGAAGATTGGGTCATTCAGTTTCTACTTCATTTCAAGCACACAAAAGGAGTAGCTCGGGAATGATGTAGCACTCCTTACATGCCTAAGGGTCGACAGTGTATTTTTATTGAAGGGTATAAAGATTACTGAAGAGAGGAATGGAAGATACTCCCTCCGTCCAAGAATTTCTTTCCTGGTTTCACTTGGCACGGAGATTAAGAAAAGTTGAAAGTGTTAAGACTATCCATGTGTTGCCCTTGATGTAATGGAATAAAGTGAATAGTGTAGATAAAAAGTAAGGGTAAGATGGTATATTCATTAAAAGTTTTTTGCCAAAAGAGTAAACGGGAAAGAAATTTTTGGACGCTCCAAAAAAGAAAGTGAGAAAGAAATTAATGGACGGAGGGAGTATTATAGGGGAAAAGTGGGAAATGTTTGGGCTGAATAAGCTTAGTATAGGAGGAGAAAAGGTAATTATAAAACATTACAATTTCAATGTTTAATTGTTTGGACTTTGGATTCCATTGGACAACATAAACCCAGTTGAATCACACAATTGTTTGGATCCCAATGGAAGTAAGAAAATGATTGTACAATTTATTTAAAAAACTATGTTTTTTTTGGGGGGGGGGAGGGAAGAGTGAGATATAAAGAGTTTGGAGGAAAGTGTAGGTGTTATTTTTCTTGTGTTGCCCTGGTCCATGATCTCAAAGATATCCCCATTAGATATTTAGATAATGAACCCGCTCTATTGCCCATGGTGAAGAGATAGAGCTTCAGATCCTATAGTCCGAGACTGATAAGGAAGATGCGTCTAATTGCTTCAGCTCTAATATTATTATTGATTTTGTGATGATGATACTAGGAAACCCAAATCCTTATTAGGAATATTAACTATCATATAATAAGAGAACTCATAGGAAAATGATGATGTTCTTAATAATAACAATAACAATAACAATAGTGATAATAATAATAATAATATGAAAAAATAAAATAAATAATTCATGAAACCCTGGATCCATAGTAGTAGGTTTGAATTTACAATATCAATCTTGCAAGAGAACAAGACAATAGCAAAACCTAATATCACTTCAATACTGCCCCCTGACGTTTTCCAGGCATGTGGAAATAAGATACGATGATGACAAGTTTAGTATTTTCATCTCATTATTACTTCAGATAGAGTATGCAACAGGAATGACATCAGGTGTAAAATGTTGCCACTATGCTTTTTGCATGAATTTATAGTATGGATTAATCTTTTATGCTCCCTCCATCTCATAAAAAGGTTCCACATTTCTTCAAAAAGGATCCGCTTTCCACTCTTGGAAACATTTTTTTGGCCCTTATCATTCTACCACACAATTTCATTTCACTTTTCTTAATTTCCGTGTCAAGTGAAAGGTGGAACCTTTTATGGGACGGAGGGATTATTATTGAGACCATAAGTTTAATCCCCCCGATCCCAACTACTTGGGACTAAAGTGCTGATGAGTTAAATATACAGTTTTTATGTTTTTTTGTGCAGGTTCAGATGTTCCTAGACTGGTCCACCAAGAAAACGTTAATTCTAATGTGATATTGTTAAGGAATGAATTCGCGTGGCTAATTGGAGGTGCACTACCACAAGAGGAGCTGCAAGAATGGAAGCTTCTTTACCACAATGCAGTTCATGGCTCAAGCTTGAATACGTTCTTGGGAAATGTAACGTAAGTCGCTTGTATTTCTTCATTTCCTCAAGGAATGCACATTTTCTCATTGAAATTTGATAATGCTCTTACTTTTTCAAATGATATTACGATGTACTTCTTTGGAGTTTGGAACATTTTGTTCAAGAACTATCTTACTCCGTATTTACCGTTTTCAAGTGTCTGACTTTTACAGTAAATTTCAGAATTGGCAAAGGTCCAACAGTGTTAATCATAAAAGATAAAAACGGCCATATATATGGAGGTTATGCTTCTCAGCCATGGGAGAGACATGGTGAATTTTATGGAGACATGAAATCATTTATCTTCCAACTTTACCCAAAAGCATCAATTTTTCGCCCCACTGGAGCAAACGGAAATATACAGTGGGTAAGTTGGTCATTCTTCACAAGGAGTATATATTTTTTTTTAACTTGAGGTGAAGAAGGAAACAGACCTACAAAGCAATCTCGTCTCTTTTGGCAGTGTGCTGTAAATTTCAGTTCAGAAAGCATTCCCAATGGCATTGGGTTTGGGGGCAGAGTGAATCATTTTGGTCTGTTCATCTCAGCCAACTTTGATCAAGGCCACACTTTCCCATGCACCACGTTTGGAAGCCCTAGCTTATCGGCAAGCAACGTGGTATATCCAGAAGTGATAGAATGCTGGGGAGTCCAAATCAAGAAAGCCCATGACGAACCGCATCATGATCGTGTCAAAGGCACAGTTCTTGAAAGATTTAAAGAGGATCGCCATGTACTTAATATGGTTGGCCTTGCAAGTTCAAGCGACTGACCTGCCCTGTGTTTTTAGTTGGTTTTGTTCCTTTCCCCTCATTGTTCGTTACTTACTGCTGATTACTTGTATACTGCAATATGAGCTTGCTTTGATTAAATTAAACTCGTTTGAGCTTGCTATGATGCTATAGAGAACCAGATACAGCAGTTGTTTTTTACTCTGAGCAAGTAATGATTAAAATGAATTAGTATGGAAAATTTGGGGGCAAATTGCATATTGTTCTGTTGAACCCCTCAGACCTGGCAGCTGTCATAAAATCCTCTCACAGACCTGAAAATCTGAAATATGTGGCCTTAAATTATCTTGTGGTATGTTTGGGAACATGGATTTGGATTTCAAATTCGGATTTGATTTAAATTTCATGTTTGGGAAACTTAAGCATTTTGAATTTGGATTTGAATCAAATTCTTTACATTCAAAACAAAGCTTAACTTGAAATCCATGCACCTCTCATTGTCATTTGAAATTCTGGATTTCAAATTTTGGAATTGAAATGCAAGAATTGAAATGAAATGCTAGTTGCCAAACACCACCTTGTTGAATTTGAATATTTTTTCCTAGCATGTTTGGCCATTTAGCTTTGATAGCTGGTGCCTGGTAGGACTTTTAAGTTCCATTGAAATATCTACCATTAAAAATAAAATATTTAAAATTTATTTGAGTCAAAATTAAAAATTATGTAAAGCAAATAAATTTCTAGGAAATATTTTTTTAGATTTTTCATTAATTATTGAATGCGTTATTAAGTCAAAATAATGTTTTTTTTTGTAATTTCACATGACTATTTTGAAGAAAAAACAGAAGCGCTATCCCCGAAGCCCGTAGTAGTCTCACCCCAGTCCTCATGATTTCTGGATCCGCCACTGCTGCCACACATTCTATAAATGGGAATGTGCCTATTTTTCCCATCCCAAAGTACTTCATTATCTTTACTGTAGCATAACTTTGGTACATAGGTATTAAAGGCGAGCGCCTCCCTCGGACCCAAGTCGCCTGAAAAGAATTGGGCGTGCGCTTTTCTCGCATGATATCCTGGCCTGAGGCTTCGTCTTTGATTACCCTCTCCAAGTCATTGTTAACAACTTCATCTATACTGTGTTTGACTATTTTGATTGGTTGTAAGTCTAATGTTGCCTACCTGACCCGCTCAGATTTCATTTAAGTCTTAAGAAGAAAACCCTAGCCTTTTGTCCGCCTCTAGTCTTCAATTAGTTTACTTTTCAAGGGTTTTTAAATCTCAGTTTTGTTTTGAATTAATTTTTTTTACATTTTTCATCTTTCTAGTATTCCAAATCTGGTTGTTTGTGGAATTCTTATTAGCTAATAAATCAAATTTTTATTAGCTCATACAATATATTCAATAATTATTGGAGTTATTCTCCTCACATCAAATATGGCAAGGTTAAAATTCATGATTGGTACTTCAACTTTATGAATTGTGCATGATTGGCCCTTAAAATTTTAAAACTTAAAAATTCATTAATAGTTCTTCAAGTATTAATAATCCTCCACATGAAGTCTTTCAAGTTTCAAAAATTCATAACTAGTTCTTCAAGTATTCATCAACCTTCCAAATGCAGTCTTTTTTACGGTACACGTTAAAAGATAAACGAATTACTAATTTCATATATATAATATGAAGTACTTGTACCTATACGTAGATGATTGTTTTTTACGTATAGGGAATTAATGAGCTTCCATAATTTCAATCAAAGTTTTATATTCTTTACTATACAAATTGAACCCCTGCGAAAGTGAAATTATCCCTAACATTTACAATGGGAGAAAAAGACCCACAATGCAACATTGCTCGTAGGACAGGGCCAGCGTTGAACCCCCATTGCAGGCCAATAGTTATAAAAATAGAGCTAATACTTCATTTAGTTTTTAAAGTATATCATAAAAAGAACTGCATTTATAGGGTTCATGAATATTTGAAGAACTATTTATGGATTTTTGAAACTTGAAGAACTGGATTTAGAGTTTGTTGAATATTTGAATAACTATTGATGAACTTTTGAAATTTAAAAGATCAATCGTGCACAGCTTACAGAGTAGGACCAATGGTGGATTTTAGCCAATACGAGAACAATATCACCAAGAACTATGATAAATTTAAGATCTCAAAAATGTCAACTCTCTCTCTCTATCTCATACAATAAAAATATTTGATGCAAACCAACTTTTAAAGACAAATTTATCTATTTAGTCAAAAGAAGACAACCACACCCGCATGTAATTGGTGTAATTATTTTACACCAAATCAGGCCCCTCCACTCTCAATGGAGAAGTGCAATTGAACCACTCCAATTTACGCCATAACTTTCATTTAGAGCAGCTCCACGAAGCATGAAGGATTGGCATGATCCTGGTAGGCAGAATGAATGATTGTCATAATCCTAATAGCGGATGGGGCGAGACTGTCATGGTGAAATTTGTGATTTTAAAATAAATAATTGTGTTGTTATTAAACATGGTTTAAATTGCTTCCGCATTATTGTTAAACACTCCGTATTTTGCTACAATTATGTATTAAATAACATTTATGATGAACAAAAGTATTTGAAATGTTTTAAATTTTACGATCACCAAGTTAATACTTTAGTCCGAAAGGGGTTGCAGATCTGGACGGATTAGGGTGTTACATTCGATGCATTGTTGCTTTGCATGAGTGGTTACAGATGACGTATGGGAAAGGGTATCCACCACCTCCTCAACAAACGACCAAGATCTCCTTCATTTAGACTCTTCCATACAAATACTCCATATGTTCCCAAACTTAATTCACTTTCCCCTTTATGATTCCCAAAATAAGTTTGGCAATTTTCTCATTTCCATTTATGGAAAAGAATGTGCCTCACATAATTTTCTCTTTTAAGCAAATCATAACCACGCATCTTTAACTTCTCATAATTATTCTTGAACGACGTGAAGTCAAACAACAATATTAATTTAGGAACACAAGAATATCTAAGATATTTATCTCTCTACTTTTATACTCTTCCAGAACTGTCTAGACCTCTCCATAAAGTCTTACAAAATTCTAGTCTTTCAGGCATGTTTAGACTAGTGGAGTCCATTCTTTGTTAGTTCTGTGTACAAACACTTTAGATAGTTTAGGAAAACTTAAGTTGTGTGTTACACGTTGCATGGGCAACGCCCACATCATACACATACAACGGGATCACGATGAGAGTCATGTTTGATGCCAATTCTCTCCCCAATATTGCGACCCAAAAGGAACAAAAGAGATGGAATAAAGGTTACAAGAATGTGAATGAGCAAGTGTAGTGAAAGGTACAAGATTTTTTCCACATTCGTGGCAGTGAAAGCAAATAAAAGATGAGAACAAGATTTGAAGGAAAAAGAAAGCAATAATAAGGGGTATGCATTATTTAATGTGTGTAGAATAAAGGAATACACATAACCCTGTTTTATGTCTTATACACCAGCTTACATTGAAAAGTGAGCGCAAAAGATGAAGAATCTGTCTTTGATTATGATAATCAGGATATAGTAGCCTCATATTTCTGCAACTAGGTTTACTGTGCTAATCATGTAATTGGGGTTAACCATCTAAAATAAGTAATCCACCAAACAATTTAAACATGGTTTTATATCTAAGGTGTACGGTTGTGAGAACAAATTATTACTTACACATGAAGGCAATTAGTAGGTATTGATGAAAGGCCATCATTCATAATAATGCGGAGGCACTGTAATGGAAACAATATCAACCAATTCAAGAATTACATTTACATTAGTTGAAACCACTCCTAATAATCATCAAGCAAGTAAAATGATAAAAAGAAAGGATGTAACAGATGGTTTATAATAGAATATAACATGTTCTGCTTCATATAATTTACTCAAAGAAGTAAGCATTTTAAGATTCAAAATTTGTTAAGGATAGACATAAAGAATACTCCGTAACACTTTATTCTGGAAAGGCTAGAACCATAATCGATAATAATTATACTTTGTTAAGCATATCTTGTTCATATCATTTCGTCCAATGTCTCTATGCTTATTCATCATGAAATTACTACAAGTATTGGTTATATGATGATACCCAATAGTAGTATTAATAGCACCACGAGTTGGCATTCCAAGGCTTGGCATTTAACAACCACTAACGCACACATCATAATGGTGTCTAAGATCTAGACCATTAAATATGCCCATGAAAACCCAGAGTATCAGTTGCTAAAACCAGAAAGTATATACGCCTAGACACGCAGGCATAAGAATTTGAAAGTATGTCAGAATGGAAACTTTTCTTCTTGATAAAACATTTTATGTTCTCACCTGGAATCCAAGAGAAATGAGATCCTTGTCAGCGGCATGCGCCACAGACCTGCACAAAAGTCAAAACAACTTGTAAAGGAGCAAGAGATAATCTGGATACATCCAAAAACACTTCAACCAAGCAGAAGATCAGTAAGGAAATAACTTTTCAAACACAATGAACACCTTAGAACGTCAAGAATATATGGCCAGCTATAATGCAGCTTTTCTCCATGCCTCTGAAAAAATATATATGCAGCGTGCATAAATGTGGGTGTGAAGAAATAAAAGACTATAGAATATATAGATGCAGCGTGCATAAATTTTAAATCACTTCTAAATATGTTTATTACATTACAATACCTCCAAAACATGAAGAAAAATTTTAAGCAATGCAACACGAATATCAATGCTTTGTGTTGAAGAATAAAGGGTTGTTAAGGGAGATATGATAGCACGTTCGAGTGATCTCATCTCTATATTCTCAGGGCAAACCTGGTGGGGTCATCAAAAATAAAACATTGTTTTCAAGTCATCATAAGAAAATACCAACATAAAAAACAACACTAATATTGGTTCTTGGATATGCATTCTTTTTTAGGTTGTTGGAGAATGCCCTGCCTATACTTCTGCATAACTCTTGGGTACATATTATATATATTTAAAGTTAACCCCAAAAAAATAACAATAATGGAAATGATGATGGTACTTGTTATCTATCTCGCATTGATTGATGGGTTATGAGACCTTAGTGTAATTTAGAAATTTTGGCAAATCTATACCCTTTGAGCCATTTGAGGACCAATTTGGGGTGTGGTTAGGCCCAATTAACATGATTTCAAAGCCTACCCATTTGTGGTTTATATTGTTACACGACCGCTAATTTGTTACCTCCTCATTGATATTGGGATTCAAATGCACACGATGTTAGGCAAATTTGCAAGACTCACAGTATGAGAAAGATATGTTGAACTCAAGATACAATTGATTTCATATTAGAAGAGATGGATGTCCTCGGCAACAATGAGAATTAAATGGAGTTACTACCCCTACACAAGCAAGAGCTTTAGATATATCACTATCAAGAATATAGAGGCCCTCCAACTCATGCTTCGTACAACTAATACTCTTTGACCACAAACCTTGAAACTTAAAAGAAGCAATGATCAAAGATATGTGGTGGTGCAACAACTGGTAGCACAAGTAAGTTTGCTTCGAAGGAACAAATAAAAATGCAAATCTAGGAAATACAAACTGGATGGCAAGGGGTAGGCTTAGCACTACCAAACCTTCGTATCGAAGAGGTAGACCCATCAGCCAAATTGAATACATGATGTGTTTATCTAGAGATAGAGAATAAGCTAGGTTGACCTATCCTATGGTTTGTGGCCCCTAAGTCAATCACTTATTGAGAAGAAGATGAAGTCAAACATGTGTTAATTAAGAAAATGAGATGCAACTCCAATAATCTCTGCAAGATATAAAAAACAGAAACACAAGGAATTCAA